AGCCGGGGATTGGCTTCTGGGTGAGGCTTCAACAGCACAACTGGAGCACTGAGCAATTAGTATTTTTAGCACAGCAGCTTTTTTCTGTGCAATGTTAAGAATCTTCTGAAATGCAACTGCTCGAGTGAAAATACAAAAATTTAAACACAACTGGCAACAAATACTTCTGTCCACTGCTGTGGTGTCCATGGCAACTCTGTGGGTGGGAGAAAGGATCACCAAAAGCTCCAATATTACTAATAAGCGAAGTCACTTGGGCTGAGTACGTGCCTCACATGCCAGAGAGATCTGGGAGACTCGCGGAAATTGGTCCTTTTCAGTTACACCCATCTTGGGAGAGTGACCCTGTGAATCTCACCACTAACGTGACGTGTTCTTTCACTGGGGCTTCTGGGCCCATTTAGGACATTTCAGTGCCAACAGCTGGACGCTGTTATAAATCAAAAGCCCCGAAGCTTGGCTAAGATAGATTGTTATAAAAAATCCCTTTTATAATCTGGGTAACAAGCCATCGCATAGGAAACCAATAAACAATGTAACAACACAGATAACAGATTTGTCACTGTTTTCCCAACTCAGACATTTCCTTAGCTACCAGCACAGCGGTCCCACGAGAAAAGAAACGCGCTGCCTGGAAAAGTGCGACACGACTCTGATGTGCCGCCGTGATTTAACGCAGGGCTTTCTGACAAACGCTGCACCTCAGGTGTGCTCACGGCAGCTGGGGACAAATCTATTCACTTGTCTTCACATCTTCCTAGAAAAAACTCTTATTATTTTTTCCCCTTCGATTTTGTTTAAGTTCTTTGCTTAAATATTAGCATTTTCTTCCCCAGTTTTGTTTCATATCTCATTCCTCAAAATTTATTTAAATTAAGGATCTAAAGTTTCACAGAAAAGTGTCTTAAAACTAGTGGGTATTTGGCTTAACTGGCCAGCCCAGATTCTTCGAAACGGTTTTTAGCCACAGGAATAAGGTTTATCTGTCAAGTGTTATCTCACAGCAAAGGATGTAAATTCCATCAAATTCAATTCTTCTAAACCTCCCCTCAAATCTAGTGATAAAAATTCAAATGGAGACTGCCAGAAGTCGTATCCCATACATCAGCCTCAGGAACAGCCCAGGTGGGCAAAGCGTGGAGGGGAATGAAAATCGCTGCTGCCTTCTCCTTCCACACCTTCTCCCTTTGCTAAGGCATCAAGGATCAGCTGCTTAATCTGTTTGACAATTTGGAATTTCAATTGCGTTTGCTAAAACCAAACTCTGTTTAACAAGTGGTTACTTGTCATTTCTAAACGCAGTCTGACAGAGCCATCTTAGAAACTCACGTAACTTCTTGGTTCATTTACTCTCCCAATATAGAATCACAGACGGGCCTAGGCTGGAAGGGACCTCGGGGATCATTTAATCCAACCTCCCTGTCACGGGCAGGGACACCTCTCAACTAGATCAGGAAACACATGGCATATTAAAACACAGAAATGGCTTTACAATCCTTTACTGGCCCTAAAACACGTTTAGTCTTTATTTCCTCCTGGTTTATGGTACGAGTGTACTGGGTCCACTCACTTCTCACCGGTCTCCTTCATCCTTTCAAAACAGCAAGTGGTCACAGAACACAAACCCCCTCCAAAGCCAGACGCTTGCCCTTCCCCTCGGGCGAGGCACCCGCAGAGTAACATGAACAAACTCAGCTTGTCTCCGTGATCCAAGGAGCCAAACATAAAGGCAATTTATCTCGGTGAAGCTCTTACCTCTTCTTCTTGGTGATAATGAGGACATCATTGAAGAGGAAGAAGTACACCTGCTGTCTGGAAGTTCTCTTAGAAAAAAGTCCAGTGTCTTCTACGTACGCTGTTAATTCGCCCCTTTTCACTAACCATCGTGAGGAAGAAACCAACGGGAACGGCTGCAAAGGAAGAAAATAACACTTTAATCCTTCAGAAGTAGAGATTTTTAAGAATTGGGTAATAGAATACTCTAAGTTTACGGGAAAAAAATGCTTGAAGCTCAGAGAGCACAAGCACAACTCAGAGGTTATCAAGGTTTAAAGTATTTTCATCATTCACATAATACACAAGTAACAGCCTGCAAATACCTGAAAGTCACTCATGCACATCACGCAATCAGTCGTCCAAGATAAAAATGAACAGACTTGACTGGTCATACTTGGGATGGAACCGACTCTAGGAGATCTCCTAAGGAGATTAAAAATAAAGAGACTGCCTTCCAGGAATATGCACGGTCTTGTAAGATGAGTGATGGTTCTGTGAGCAGGTATGAACATTGCATTTTTCTCTAGGTGCCTCACAGCTTTTCCACCTCAACAAGCAGAGAGCACGACTTCAGCTTCTCAAGCGCGAAGCGCTGCTCACCGCGCTTCACCACAGCCCAAAGGCCAGCGAGAGCGATGCTGTGCCTTCTGCTGGCTCGTTGTGTGCCATGCACAGAAACACATCATCGGTAAAACCCTGTAACAGAGCAACACACCGTGCAGCGTGCTTGGAGGTGTTCCGTACGTTCAAACGGACATAAAGAGGCGTGGAGACTGCACACATCGTGTTCCATGCTCAACGTCAGGTTGAGGAATGCAAATTTGTATTTCATAAACAATTTTTATGCAAGTGTGTCAGTGAACTAGAGTAAACCAGTCTGGTTAGCAGTCACTGTAACCTCAGGCTCACTGACTGATGCTGTCACTCATCTTTGGTCAGTGGCTAACTTAGACTTTATCGATCCACCTTTAGTACTTCCTCCTAGGCCTGTGCCCTGTCATTTTTCTTAGGGACGGTCATTTCCGTACAGACACCCCAGTAAAGCTCCCAGCTTTTGCCAGGCCCCTTTCACTCCATGCTCAGAGGGGACGCTCCCAAGCTCCGTCACCAAAATCAAAGCTCTGTATCAACGTTTGGCTTTAAATATTCGGTGCCCTTTCAGTCAAAACAGAAAAACGTTTTGAACCAATGGCTTTTATGTTTCCTGAGAGGCAGTAACAGCTCCATGTGACAGTGCAGGAGAGCAAACCACCGGCCGAAGCCCCCATGGCTCCACCCTCGCGCTGCCTGGGACTGGACAACGTTGGGCTCGATGGTTCTCGAGCACACGACTCACACACGGTTGTTTCACGAACACAGGAGTACACTTGCACGCATTACCACAATTTTTTTAGTGCTAAAGATGGAAGAAGTTAAGAAAAAATACTTCTGAATCTTAATTAAAACTTGGATTTGAGCAATTAGCCATGTGCCAAGTGACGCAATATATCAGCAGCTTCTCTTGCACTCCCATGAAATACTCTACAGCTGCATCTAACAAAATAATAAACAAAAACCTTAAAGCACTCTATTGAGGCTGAGCAAGAACAGAAATGGTTTATGTAATTTATAATGGTCATAAAACCAGAATTACAGCACCATGATGACTGTTTTACAGACAAAAAGTACTTTAAAAATTTCTGAGGACGAACTAACAATTCCCCTAATCCATACTCCAAGAGAGTTCATCACATTTTCCTAACTGACCGTATTCCAGAGGCAGCTGGTTTTTACTTTAAGTTTTCCTTAATTGCCCAAGAGTACAGCATGGATACCATCTCCTTTCTACATAAAACAAGCTGTCAGAGCTTAAAAATGTATTGAAACGTGGCCAGAGCCGTCTTCTGTCGGCCAGCTGGCAGGCTTGCAAACCACAGATAAATATAAGCATTTAGTAGTTTAGACCTTAAGATGCGCAAAGGAAAAAAAACTTACTGAAAAGTACAGAAAAACAAAATACATGAAGTTGCTTTTACTCCCATGAAACTAGAGAGCGCTGCAAGTCCCAGCGTGTGCCGAGAACAGCGACACGGGACGCTGCGGGGCTGGGATCTGAAGCTGCTGCCTCTTCCCACAGGGCAGGCGCAGAAGGTGAAAAATACCTTCTGGGGAACACCATTTGCTCAGACGTGAACCTCTACTGACTACACGTATGATAATGTAATACTTGCTGTGTAACTGTATGAGATGTTATTTATAGAAATTCTATCTTAGCAAACACTGAATAGAAAAAAGTAAATGTCCTACACCCCCTAATAACTGTGACTGCATCTGCTATTTTTTTCCAAGACTGATTGCAGAGGATGTTTTTAAATAAAACTTTATATTGTATTTTCAGTACTAGAGAGAAAATATCTGGAATACCTCAGTATCCTAGGGCTCTTTAAAAATGACCTGAGGGCTGACAGCACCTGCACTAGCAAGACAAAGCTCGAGACACACCAGCACGGGGGTTCTTTAGCCAAAGCAGTTTGCGGGACACCGATGGCTGCTGCTGCACCGCTCGCTCTTGCCGGCCAGTATCTCATGTCCCTCGTCATGGGCAGATCTGCCACAACAGATCTCGTCTTTGCAACAATTACCGTGTGACATGAAGATGCTGAAGTCCACTGTTTACCCTATCCATTACAGATACTCACACGTTACAGAAACACACGGTCTGTTCTTCAACCGCAGTGGGAAATCTAAGCAAAATTTCACAACTATCTACAGCTCACAGAGAAGTCAAATCCCGTGTGACGCAATTTATCAGAACTTGCTCACACGCTGTCAGGTGTCACAGCGAGGAACAGAACTACTTCGTGGTGCGACACCTCTCCCAAAAGCATTTCTTTAATCCCCCCAAGTTCCCATTCTAAGAGACTTCAACAGATCCATCACTTAACCAGGTGCCCTGTTCAGCAACACGGCCCCCACCTGCTGTGGAGAACCACAACTGTTCTCATACAAATTCGAGATGATGCGACAGGTTCCTCTGGGTTTCTTCTACGTGAGGAGGAAAGTGACCAAAAAAAGCAATTCAAACTCTGACGAGCCCTGAGGAAACAAATGACGAGAAGGACGAACACCGAGGCAGAGCAGCGCGTGACTGCGAGCAGTGACAAGATCATCACACGTGCTGTTACGTAAGAGAGCACAGAACCACAAGAACTGACCCTGCCAGGGACTGTCCCTCCAACAGGGACGCAGCTTCCTCACACTCTGTTTCCCTGAAAAGCCCCAACCCAAAGCTGTGCGACGGAACAGCCTGTAGCTTTCCAGAGCTTCCGCTATCCCGCGATATGAACTTGTTGTTCTTTACTGGAAGGCACGTGGGCGCCACAGCCTGCACTGACTTGGTTTATGGTGGCAAAGAACCTGTCAAAACTTAATGCGTGGTCAAAGTTATTCACGTGCTATGGGATTTACAGTCAGAAATGTCATCGTCCTACCTTGATTTTAAATTCCAGCTGGGAGTTAATTGTGTACATCATCTCGGTCCTCTCCATCTTCCGAGCCCCTTCGTTGCACAAACGCACCAGCTAGAAACAAGACATTAACAGGCGTGATGCACTCAAGACTTGCAAAACAGACTGTGGTTCCTGTAAAAAGGCACTTGTGGGGCAGCGTACGATTTACAAAGGAACGGATGTTTCACGTTGGGCCACACATGGAACACTTTGCGGCCCTGACAAACCAGGTCTGGCTCGATAGCTGACCCTGCCTGGAGCCTGGCCTGCACAGCGGCCCGAGATCCCCTGAGCAACCCTGCGACACTGTGGTAACTGTTTATTCTTCAGGTGGGTCCAGACGGTACAAAGGTTCAGCCCCAGTTCTGACGGCGCAGGGTGACAGCTCTTGGATCCAAGTTAATGATCAGCTCCAAAACAAACCACCTTCCAGACGGACGCATCGGCGTGACGTGCTCCCCGGCCTGCCCCCTGCGCCAGGCTCTCCCCAAGGTGGAAGCCCCAACGCAGCCCTCTCAGCACCATCGCGCTCAGCGACGGCAAACCCTCCCCAGGAGAAGTCCCGCTGCAGCGGACCTTGAGAACCCAATTTTAAAGCCACACTTGAACTGCAGCCTGCACGTGGGGCTGGGAGCACATAAAAATGGGGCAAAGACACGGGGTGAAAATGCATTGCCCTTCGCCCCACACCCCCTGGGGGGTTCCTCACCCACCAAGGGGCCTTTCCTCCCTGTCCAACCCAACGCTTCACCCACCACACGCTGCTCCAGCGGGCCTGGCAGCAGCACAGTGTTGCCCGGTTTGGGATGTTTTCCCAAGTGATAAGCATCCAGGTGAAACTTTGAAGAACATACCTTGCTCACTTCTTTCAGAGCCTGCTTGCAGTTCTCATATTTTGATGAATCCTTAGGAGTTTTCTGACAAATAGTCTGAAATACAAAGTCAACTACTTCAGCGGACTAAGCAGCACAGACTGTAACAAATACAGAATTTTACGCACAAATTAACTGAAATCAGAGAGGTGAAGTTACTGCTGTGCCCTGGGATCAGCGGGGGAACATCAGATCGCTCCTTCAGAGCGCTTCATCTCGCTCAGCACTGCCTCCCTCAAGAGCCTTTTGGAGGCAAGTCGTTTCGCACCTCTTGGCCAACCTCCAGCCATGGCAACAGGCAGCAGAGGAGGCCGTGTCCTCCCAGGAAAGGGGAAGTTTCTGTTGCCTGGTCTCTGATTTTTTAAAAGCTACAACGAAATCCCATCGCAGCCGTGCACTGCCAGGTTCAATGTTCAGCTTCTCCTGGAAGCTGAAGTGCCTATTTCTGTGCACCTGTGCGCATCTGCTCTGTCTGACCTCTTCGTACAAGGTCAGCATTTCCAAAGGATTAGGAGAAAAGGCTCTGTTACGTGTGCCCTGGGAAAATGCACATAACAGCATTATTGCATTAAAACAAAAAAGCACACGGCAGGGAAGACAGTTGCAGCATCAGACACAGGAGGTGCTGGGAAGCAAAGAGAGGCAAATCCGATCCACAGCTTACACCCCACAGCTACCTATTGACAGAGTTTATTCTTAGGAGTTAGAGGGGAAGAAGTCCTATCAGAGACATGTATTTTGAATCAATGACAGACCAGTCTGATCAAGAAACAAGCTTTTCTATTAAAATGTCTAAATATTTAACTTTTGAGTGGGGGAGCAGGAGGTCCCAAGCACAGCAGGCAAACAAATGCTCCAGTACTTCATCAACAGAGTAGCAACTGCAGCCCTGTGAGGGTGTGAGTAAAGCAATGAGGAGACAGGAAGGAACTAGGAATTCAGTAGGGAAGAGTGCTAGTACTGAAAGAACACGCATCAAGGGGAAACAGAAAAGCAACTCTGTTCTCACATCCATCAGTAAAGGCAGACGAGTGACTCTCTGCATGGGAAGAATGAGGAAAGAGATCATGGGTAAATTCCGGCAGTCTTCATGGGACTCGATCCGTGACAACACCTCTTTAAACGCTGGGTTTGTGGCTCTGGTGGGAAAAAGGAGGAGAGAACGAAACGTTACGTTTTGCCAAAGAATTGTCAAAGTTGCTAGATTTCAAACAAATCATTTTATTCAGAGGAAAGA